AAGTGGGGATGGGGGTGGTTTGGGTTTTCTGAACAACACCACACACAAATGATGACAACAGCCAGTACGACTGATATCACGACGAACCCGACGAACCTTTGCAAAACCACCTCTCGCAGCCTCTTCGTCGGTGCTGTATCCTCTGACAATCAGTTCAAGTAACGTTTGTAGTGCCTTGAGCACAAAACCAAACAGTAACACAACCGCGTGGATTCCAAGTATGACCCAACCAGTCCAGCCCTTGACGGCATCCGTGGCATTGATCGACGGAACAAAAGCCATCATGAGCAAAATGGTTAGTAACCTCACCACCGAGAAGATGAAGTGCCATAGATTCATGGATGTGGCTCGTGCATATGGCTTGATCCCGTATACGGCTAATATCGTCACAATTTCGCAGGCTGCAAGGATAGTAATCTGTGCAATTCCAGAAGGTTGTAGAGCTCCAAATGTTATTCCACGCAGGATGTTCATAGATATCGGAACAATGAAGTATCGAAGGTGTTTTTCACGATGAGTATTGTAAAGCGTTCCATGGATAAGCAGAGTCGGTAGGTCGTCGAACAACTCTGACGCAGGATTATGGGTCCAAATCAGGTAGCATAATAAGCCACAAAATGCAAGTATCGTGATTAGTACTATGCAAGCAATTGCTGTTAGAGCTGTAGCCGAATGATCTGCAATGGTAAACTGAAACGTGCAAACGGTGACAACTGGTAGCAAGAAGTATGTGAACGCAAACCGACTCACAAGCCCTAGGTATCAGTGATATTGTGTTAGCAAATCCTCTCCCGCCTCAACCCCGGTAATTATTGACCCACCTGCAGTGAATGGCCAATTCCTACTCGTCAGATCCCCCTCTTCAACCCCGGTAAGTTTCCAGAAGGCCCATCTGCCCCAAAACCATAACTGGAAAATTACCACCGCACCTAGCATCAGAACCGCGAAATATGCTAATACGGAGACCAAAATGTCGTCCGCCGTCAACAATCCAACCGCCTGGGCAAGACGTTCATACCCGTATGCCCATGCCTGAAATACATAAACACCATCGGCTCTCCACGCATTTGCCTTGATCGGGGCCTGGGAATAGAGGGAAGTATTCAATAGCAAAACACTCCAGGCACCATTGGATATTATCGGTTGATAGAAGCCCGGATAACTCAAAGACAGACTTCCGGTTAGAACCATAAATTGCAACCACTGGAGACAGTCCGCGAATCCCGGTGTAACCAAACGCAACATGTCTTCATCCATCCCAAAATTGCTGCTGAACTTGAACACATCGGTCGTTCCATTCCAGGGATTGAGGGCGGAAGCCAGGATAGTAGCTATGCCAACAAATATCAAAATTCCAGCAGAAAGCCAAGTCAGGGCGGTATTGTAGCCTTTCTGAATCTCAGGAGTAACCTCAATGTGAATACATCCGACATTCGTTGCCTCTTGATCTCCAGATGTTATCTTAAAGGTAACACCTAAGGACGCAAACTGATAGCTTGATGTTAGCTGTCTCTTCCAGGTAAACGACGGAAGTTCGTTCGTCAGATACGCGACGTCATTCCGGGATTCCGGTGGCCCTAGGTGTCTATCCATCTGAACGGCAGAATCTGGTGATGTTGCGTTGTCGAGCGAGATGCGGTTCCCAAATGGACATCTGGCACCGAGGGAGTTGTTGGGATTCTCACAGAAGAATGTGTCGTTTCTGAAGACCAGGAAGCTGGCGAGGACAATACTTGTCGAGAACTTAGTAGCGTATTGCCAGGATGGGTCTCGGTCCACAATGGATCCGTTGTAAGTGTAGTTGATGCTGGGGTCGGGAAAACGGTAAGCGGAATTGTACATTTTGCCGAAATATATCGTTGAAGCCTGCGAGGTGTTGGCTTGGGGAACCACATTGAGCTGACGCTTCCTCAGTGAATCGACACTCTGTTCCGACCAGTAATCCACATGTCCGAGCCCCTCTCCCTCATCCCCCTCCTTCCTGTTACCCTTATCCCAATCTCGAACCCACAATCCATCGACCCCTCCTAGACCTCGCCTTGCCTTTCTTCGTCCCGACGGATTCGTACCCGATTTGCCAGTGGTTGCTCCCCATACCGTTATCGTCAATTCCTTAGATTTTGAGTCGAAATCGGCAGCCACAAGAATAGGATGAAACTGTAGGCGTGTAGGAGAGTCTCGAGCAGGTTGTGGCAGACAATTGTCGAACGTCGAGACCAGGGCAGCCGTAGTTTGACACACAAATAAGCTCAGTGCGAGCAAGAGCAGCATTGGCGTAGACAGTAACGGTGCCTGGAAGTGTTTTAGCCGTCGTTTGCGGTATGTGGATATTGAGGGTGTCGAGGAGGAGGATGACGATGATGGCTGTTTGCGAGATGGGGCATTCGAAGAGAATGGCGGAGAGGATGTCAGCTTGGAGGAGGAGTGGAGACGAGAGAATGAATTCGTTTGGGCTGGTAATGAGATCATAGGCCGGAAATGAGCGGAAGCTAGGGCTTGTCGATCGTTTGCGAGGAGGGAAAGACAGCGGCGTGGAAGAGAGAGCGAGAGGGCGAGAGGGAGAGAGAGGAACAAAGCGAGAGAAAGAGTCAACGATCCACGATGGCTTGGGTCCAGTGCCACGGAATGTTCTATCGATTCTACAGTCGCCAGCAGAGCGGAACGGGTACAGTACGGCGTTGTCGCCCGCTATGTCGTACAGCAGATGCGCAAGGGACCAGGACGGTGGGTGGTGTTGGCGGGAGCAAAAGGCTGCTGCTGCTGGGCTGCACAAGTGTCAGTCAAGTGGTCGGTATTCGTTGAGGCCTCAAGCGTCGCGACTCCTCTGGTTCTTTCTTTGCTAAAAATAGTCGAGAGCAATGATGAAACCCCAACTACCTCAGTATAGGAACGACACACGCAATGATAGGTGACCGAGGACCGTAAGCAAGTCGCGCGCGCACATACCTTTGTGAGCAAGTTCCTCTCTCTCTCTCTCTCTCTCTCGAGATAGGTCGGCGATGGTGGAAATGCACCGGTGCGATGCGGATGGTTGGCGGCTGAAGTGCGTGATGCACAGCGAGTGCCAAGCGAAGTGACTGGCTGTGATTGGGCGATGGCAGTGCAATGAGATGCAGCAACCTTAAATCGCCATAATGGACTTTCAGCTGAGCGCAAAGAAGCGAAGGCGAGAAACGACAGCCCAGGTGGGGGCGATTAGATGCAATTATGGATTATGAGAATTATTGATGAAGCGAAGGGAAAAGCGGAGGGAGGGAAGGCATAGCAGTGGTGATGACGGTCGGGTGCTATCATAGCCATGCAATGCAGTTGGAGAGAACTAGCCAGGTCTCCTCCACTGTTTCAGCCTTCCCTTTCGCGTGTGTTGGTGTCCACAGGAACAGAACTGACATGGACATGCATCATGACAATTGCCCAGGCATCCGCACGTCAATCGCACGACAGATTGCAAGCACTAATTAAGTCGAGTACCACAGCATTGAACACTCATCACTACATGATGCGCGTCATCTCCAACATCACCATTCGTGCCTGGAGTTCTTAAATACCTCATGCGCGACACTCCACAAATATAACGAGCGACTCAACGGTCTGGAGATCTAATATCGGTGCAGCGGCCTAAAAACAGAAATTCGATAGAAGCATAGTCCCACAAGCATTCTGTGCATGCACTCTACTCCAAACCATCTTTAACCTGAAGAGACGTTGAGATCGACCGAGAGTCTGGACCTGCGACTTTCTTCATCGTTATACGATTGACGCCTACTGTCGCAAGGACTGAATATCGTGGTATTACCAGTGGCATCAGCATCGCACAAACCACCGCTCACGGAACCAACTACCAACTTCATATAAGTACACAAACGTACCTCCTCCAATATACAATACATTTACAGTACACGCTACCGTATATACAGACCCCTCTTCGAACTACAACTCAGCTGCAACTCCAGCAATCATGCACACCACAACCCATCCAAACAACCCCCCAATGTCGACCTTCACACCCGCACTATTCTGCAATCCCAACCGCAGTCCCTTCGCCGCCGCCGTTGTCGTGCTATTAGCGACAATGGGTTCTCTTAGGCTCGGACGCGGAGAACGAGCCAGAGTGGTGGAGGAATCCGGGACAGGGAAAACAAGATACACGGTGCTAGTCAGGGGCGACGCAGGAGTCGTGTTACTGGACATCATCGTACTCGAAGTTGCTGGTGCTGTCGGTCTTGCCTTGGTCGGCTGAAATTCGGCTTAACCATAGTTTGCAAAACACGTACTTACGGACAACTTACATTTCCACCAGTTATGTCTGTGTACATACTCGTCGTCTCCTCGTCACCTAAATAGTCCCCATCCTCACACTGCACCCGAATCACGCCTTCACACATGTTCCCGCGATACTCTTCACATGGCGCCGCCAGCGAAGCCACAGACTGCAGACACTCACGAAACGCCGACATGCAGGCGTCGTAGATATCGTGACATGGCGGGGTGGCCTGGAGGGTTGCTTGTGCCGATATCGCGGCGACAAACCAGAGGAGCAACAGTAGTACCACCGATGGTGATTTTCGACGTTTGCGCGAAGACATCCGCTATCCTTTACTTTTACAAAAAAATTGCTGGCCATATCGCTCAACTTATGAACCCCCGAATGAATGAATCTCCACACCCCTTGCTGCGCCTACCGTGTCGTCTGAACCCATTGTGATACAACCCTGGTCTCATAACAGATGTGGTTCCTGTACCTCGATTAGCGAGACTCCCGAGGGGGAATATCGATCTGGAACAGTGTCTTTGAAAGCAGTCGAGGGTATATAATGTACACGTTTTAATCCATCAATAGCTATGTATTTACTCCCCAGAGATTTTCAACAGGATTCTTCTCCGTATGATATGGAACTTCCCACGCGCCTTCCTTGTGCGCTTTACATTTGAAACTGGACGAGTCGCAGTATGTTGATTTTCTGGCTATTAGACAAAAATTCAAAAGTAATGCAATAATAACACCGCTGGTGTAGGGGTAACATATTACCTTCCCATCTTCAAGAGATTAGGATCAGGTAATGCCGTGGGTTCGATTCCCGCGCGGTGTATGGTTTTTTTTTTCACGATTCCAGGGGTGCCCGTCAAGATACTTAGGTGGGGGCTGGCAGCCCTATTCGCCGCCTAGTTTAGATAACTGTTCCCAAGCGGTCAGATCGGTCTACAGATATCCACAGATATTCGAGTTGAACTAGCCCAGAATCTTCTCTCTTATATAGGTTAATATACCTACCAAGGTTTCGTCAGATACTAATAGATATCTATGAATATCACCCAGATCCTGGTAAGTGCCAGGCATCTATAAATATCCATAGATACCCATAGATGCTTGAATTATCTTTGTCAAGGTAGATGTCCGCAGATATTTACCAGTACCCAGGCAGTCTCAATACTAGACCGGGCCGGTCTATGCCAAGGGAGGCTTTCCTAAAGGTTGCCCGGCCTGACCGGTCTATGGATTCTATAGATGACCGGGCGGCCGATCTGAAGAGTGGTAACGCTGGCGGTGCTGAAGTCAACGGTGCTGTTGAAGTCGATGGCCATGTTGAGGTTAACGACAGTGCCGAAGTAGATGGTGCCGAGAAAGCTGATGGTGGCGTTGTAGTTGCTCCGAATCCAAACAGTATCGAAACATGAAGATGGGTGGGAAGGTAGATCGTGTGCTTCTGAAAAAACTCCACGGTTTAAGAGTAAAGTTGAGTAGCCATCATCCCGCCACAGAGATATTTTGTTGCAGTAGAGTGGTTTCGTCGATAGGTATAATCAAACTGACTACTATGCATTGAAATAGCTCTAGGTCATTAAGTGTACTCTGTAAAGCCTAGGAAGAGCACATTGTATGGGAAGTTGGTATTGCTGAGACCTCATGAACTTAATGACTTCTAGAGTTGGAAAACATATACCCTTGAGCCTAGAGAGCTCAAGACTTTAGATTGATAGAGTACGAGTCTCGAGTTTTTCCCACTATTTAGATGGAACATTGATTTTGTATGTACGGAGTGTGCAAAGAAACACTTTAATACTCTTAGAAGAGTCTAGCCATAATATATCACTCATTCATGTGCAATACTCACAAATCACTGAGATCAGACACGACCTTCTTAGGCGAGTCGTTCCCACAAAGCGTCCTTATATTGTTATAGGTATTCGCCTTGCTTACCTAACAGCAATAGATTGTGGGAGTTCTGTACTGACAAAGTCGTCGAGAGAAAGCGGACACCCCAGCCGCTACGACTTCGAAGGTCGTAGGGCGACTATGGGTCGTGATGTTGTAGGGTGCGATATATGTACGGAATCTCTTCACAATCCATCATATTATATCACTCGGCCCTCGGTGTACTCTTTTGATTTTTAGATTATTGCAGCGGAACACCTAGCACAAATGCGAGAACCTCTTGGAGAAGATGATGCTGATATGGTGTAGTTACCGTACCTGCTGGGTGATCTCCATGAGCTCAGATGTTTTTGGATCATTGATGTGATTATTCGTTAACAAGAACCATCTTTTCAACTCTCTCCAGTCTTTCCCAAGCTCCATAAAGGGTCGACAGAAACATGGATATGTGTTCCGCGGTATAAGGCTTGTCTGAGGTCTCCAATGCAAATTTCCTTATGAAGTGCCTTCCTTCCACAGACGGGCCAATACTAGCTTCCAACTTTCCTAGGCTAGTAAGACTAACTCCATGGATCTCCCAAGTTGTAATTTGTAGACTATCGCATCCCAGTTGTAGGTATAGGCATTGGATCGTTTGGAGTGATGTATACGGTCGGACGACAAAGGTGTTGGGCCGGCGGTGGTGATTGTATCTCGAGGCCCTGGTCATTAGCATTTCGCGTTCATATGTCACCTCTCACAGCGTCCTGAGATGTCTCCCAATGAACAAAACCGCCCCAAGATATCTCACTCGTAAAAGCCAAAATCTCGTCAATCCCGAGATATTTCGACATAGCCAACACCTAAAGGGGGTCTGCTGTACAGTATCGGTGGATTAAGTGAGGACGATGTGGGCATTCCAGTGGGCTGAGCCATAGATAGAACTATGACAGGGCGTAATCATGGTCAAAATCTTCCATGTAGTTCGACTTCAAACTCAACATCGAGGAATAATACGCACAGACAAAAGACGGACTGGACACACCATCGCGCCGTTTCTAGATGCCACCTTAAGGACTGTGTGTGTAAAGGATCATTTCGAGGAGTTTGTGGCGGCTTCGAGGGAGAACTTCATTCTACCCCTACGGTAGGAAGAGGGCGGACGGCGGGTTTATCAATCGTTAAGCGAGGTCGTGAAGGCATCGTGGAAGTAGTCTTGAATCTTCTTAGTGACCTTCACATCCTGAGCAAATCTTTATAAGATCCATTAGAAGCAAGCCACAAATTGAATATGGATACTACTTGTGGTGATAAACCTAGAGTGAAGCTACCGGTGTTACAGAGTTGCAGCTGCTGGTACTAAGCTAAGCCAAAACGAATGCGCAACGACCACGTAACTTCATATTAGAGCTAAGTTATTTATTTACATCTGAAGAGCAATCATAAGAGACATAATGTTTCTTTACTCCTTCATTGACAATGCAAAAGGTTACCACCTATATTATCATCCCGGACTTAATAGTTATAAACTACGAAACAAACGGCAGTAATAACCATAAGTCGCACGTTCCCTGGCTTGCAGTCTATACAACCATATTAACACTCCCCCAAGTTTCAAAACAGCTTCAGAACTTCTAGGTGCTTCTAGTAGATGTAACGATTCATTCCAGGCGAAAAGTAAAATGCAAATACTCTCAGAGACAGCTCGTTCCTCGCTTCGTAGTCGACCCAAAAGAACCAATAACCACAACCACTCTCACCAATCGAGAAATTGTGAGATATCGTCCGTCGTCAAGCCGAATGCAACGCAGACTACAATGTAAGCAAAATCATAAACCATACTTTCTTCGCCTTTCATCTGTACGGTAATACGGACACCGCCGTCTGGGGTATAGGTGATTGGCCGTCTCGGAAAATTCGCCTTCCACGCCATCATTCCGATACCGCATAGCCGTGCCAGCGAATACAATCTCGCAAGTCCCGACCATGGTAGGGTTGGCGCTAGATCGGTCACATATTGTATGATTTCTCGTAGATTGGATTTATTTTAGAATAGAGCCGTTCTGCCACCCCAAAATGGTAACTTTCTCACCGTGCGTCTTGGATCTTGGCTGGCAGTAGATTTGCATTGTGCTACCAGACTTAACCTTTGTGAGCACGCTGCAGTTAACAAAGATAACAGCAACTTTGGCAGGCTGATAGGTATCAAGCAACAGAGCCTCACACATTCACTACTGCATCCTAATATCCAAGACGCACGGCGAGAAAGTTGCAATCCTGGGGTGGCAGGACGGCCTTAATGTTCGACATATTTCCGAAGCTCGGTAAAATGTGCGATCAGGTGGCGTAGAAATGGTGGTTCCTTTGTCAGCCTTTTGTTCGATGCGGCCAAACCCAGAAGATGAAACCGGCTATAATCAATCCAACCTTGTCGCCTCGTTCCCACGCCCCCACTGCAAAAGAATATGCATTTCGTAGCGGGGTCAATTATCTGCCGCTTTCGAAAAGTTGGAATTGAGTTTGATTAGATTAGTTATAGTCGGATGGCTTTCATGAACTCAAAATCGACCCACTTCCCTCTGCATCTGTGGCAATCATCACACCCAACTGCCCAGGTAAGCCAGAAGATTCTTTCAATTCCCATGCCCCACCGCTAGCTAAACGGAATAGCTCAATTTGAATATTCTGTCTGTCGAACAGAGCCAGCAGATTAAGCAGTTCTGTTGCTATGCTACTCTGGTTCCTGACCACTTCAAAGTTTGTATGTATCCAAGGCCACCCTGACCGTCTTATCATACTGTGACAATCCCTCGCCTAAACTCATCAGCTCCTGAGTATGATGGTTGAAATGGTCAAGGTACAGTCGTATACCATTCTTTAGATTTCCTGTTTGGAATAGGTACCCAGCAGCAAGATCGACAGCGAGAGGAAAGCAATCGAGAGCCTGTACAACTTTTTGAGCTAGATGCTTGGCCTTTGATGCATTAACAGAGGCTAGACCCTCTGCACCTTTTCGAAGGAGAGATAAAGCTTCGACCAACCCGAACAAAATTGCTACTTGGTAGGGGGGAACTTTTTATACTAATAATAGTAGTAACAATAACGCTTCCTTTAGGAATACCTTTTGATATCCCCCAAGAATTATCGTCCGCGTTATCAACTACAACAAGCCACTGGCCGTTGTTCGCACTTCTGTTCCTAAACCATCGAAGAACCGGCGTGACAATAGGATTTTCATGCAGTGGAGTTTCAACCATCTCGCTTCCTTCCTTCGCCACAGAATCAGGATCACGCTGTAATTCCATCTCATACAAGAACTTTCTATAGCATTCTAAACCGTATGTTGGTTGCGAGCATCAATCCAGAAAATTGCGGTATATTTTCCCCGGTGGAGCTAGATACTGAAGGTATAATCTTATTTTATTTTATTTAAATGTATTATGCTGACGTGATAAATTGCTTTAGTCTCGAGATCAAGCAAATATATAATGTGAGATTGTTAAGCGCTATCCGGACCGGGAGGAGCTGTCCTCCAATATTGCACAAAAGCTCCATATGGCCGATAAAACCCGAGATCCTCCCCATTCTGTCACAATCCACGGTGCCTATGGCGTGGGGAAAACTCAGTTCTAAATTATCTGAACTACTACCGTATCCCCAGATGCTACTTCAACCATCCCGGAATACTCCCAGAATCCTTCGATATCCCTGGTCATCCCGCGAATTGAATTTATTTAATCCACTATGATCAGTAACTATGCCAATATTTTCTGCCCTTGAAAACGTAGCTGAATACTCCGGAACCAACTTGGGTAATATTAGTTTTCTTCAGATTATCCAACTTAAAACACGGTTAAAAAAAAATACCCAGCAGCTCCATTGAAAAACCCCAAACTTGTAAAAATATTGTTCACGCTGTTCGAAAAAGTTTGCTATTTTGAGTTGCTCTCCATATCC